GTCGGTCCCTCGGCGCATCTTGGGCGACCCCGAATGCCCTGAGCAATGCGCGCTGCCGACCAACTACGCGCCGCGGCCCCCCCAACCGAGCTCCATGCGCCTGGAACACGCGACTGATGAAGAAGGCTGCGCGTCGCGTTAGGGGCAGGCTGTGGCCCAGCTAGGCCTGCGAGAACGGCGCCCACATCCTCGTCTTCAGGTCCATCGCTCGGGCCGTCTGGAGAGATGACTTGGAGCGGACTGCCAGAGCAGTTGCTTGCTCATCCTTGGCTGCTGGACATCTGAACAGACCCGCGACAGCTGCGTCCCCCATCGACCCCCAGGCCTTCGAGCCCGAGTTCAGGGCGGAGCAAGGAACCAACAGCGATCGACGACAAGCTGACCTAGCTTGCCGAGCTCAAGCGACAGCTCCCGACCCCAGGTCCTACCAATACATAAATTCCATGCGCCGTGCACATCAGCGCCAAGCGGCTCATGGGAGATCATTCAAACGGGCCCTCAAGCTCCAGGGCTTCCGCGCGCCAGATGATGAACAAAAACATGGCGGCCAGCGCGCGGGCGGACATTCCCAAGGAGCTCCAGTCCCGCTGGTCGCCTGTCTTTCAAGCGGCACCGCCTGACAGAAGCACTTGGAGGCCCGCCCCTGTTGCCCCCCTCCTGGCCCCGAGGACGCTCGGCCCCTTGGCACTCGGGCCCCTGCTCGCGCAGCAGAGCGTGCTCGACCTTCGGCTCCGGGCCCTGGCGGTCTGCCATATGAAGCTTGGAGGTGCTGCGGCAACCCGCGAGCCTTTGAGGATCTCGCGATGGTCGGCATCGAGATGGCCGTGGGAAAGCCTCTTCCGATGGACCTCAACGACCACCCCATGGCCTGCTTCCAAAGGGCTCCGAGGACGGCGGGCTCACCCGTGGCCCGACGCGCGCTGCGGCCACGACGCGCCCGCTGGCGCCCGAGGACTCGGACGCGATGCTCCTAGCCGCCAGCACCAACGCCCTGATCAAGGGCTTCATCGAGCAAAGTTCCCCGAAGTCACAGCGGGGCTTCCTACCTGGGCGCAGCTCCCTGGAAAGCATCATTGCTGGGCGCGCGCGTGCTCGACTGGTCGGGCCCCTTGATCATCGCGCGCTGCGCCGTCCTCCCCCGGTGCTCTTCGACTTCGCCGATGTCTTCCCGTCGCTCGCCGCGTCGTTCCTGAGTGCTGCCATGGGGCACGCTGGCTTCGCAGGCGACATCTTCGACCTCATCATGGGCGCGCGCGGGGCGCCGAATGCGCGCGTGCTCATCGAGGGCATCGCGGCGCACTTCATGCTCGTCTCCGCGGGCGTCGCCTAGGGCTGCCGGCTGTCAAGCTCGCTCTGGGCAGTTGTCATGAACCTTTTGGCGGGCCACTTGGAGAAGATCCGCGCCCCCTTCGCCGCGTCGTCGCTGGGCGTCTGCGCCGGCGACGTCGGCTTTGTGCTTCAAGACCGCCGACTTCTCCTGCTTGCATTGCGAGTGTTTCGCGCTGCCGGGTCAATCTGTGCTTGAAGATCGCCAAATGCAAGCTCATCCCACTCTGTGGCTCCGGCGCCGAGAAGCTAGCCAGCGACGCGCTCAGCTGGGTGGCCGCCCACGTTACTGGTTGAGATCAGATGACGGTAGTCCCGCACGCGGAGCTCCGCGGCATTTGTTTCGGGTATACTGCGGCCTCAAAGGTCGCGCGGCAGAAGCCTGGGGCCAAGTGGTTTCATAGCGCGCGTGAGCTGGCTCTGGCGCCCACCAACTTGACGACGTTGCTGCATAAGCACGGAGCTGAGCTGCGCCGTGAAATTGGCGCCCGCGCCCGCCTTCATCCACGGGCGCGAGACTTGGGCGTGGCACAAGATCTAGCATCATCCTCCCCAGAACTGCCCCGAAGCTGGACTACTTGGCCTCGGGAAGCGGTCGCTACTTCACCCTGGCAGCACGATGGTGCGCAACATGGCACCCCATCGACAATGAGTGCTGCCCGTCACGCCATCACCATCTGGCGTGGCCTCCTGGGCCAGTTGCGCGGGACCACCAATCAGAATGGCGCGCTGGCCGAGGTCGGCTCTGGCTGGGTGTCTCCCCTGTTCTGGGCGTCCAAGCCGCGATCGTCATGCACATCGCTGCGGCCGCAGAAGGCCGCTTCCCTGACAATTCGCAGGCTGCCGCCGCGTCCGCTGCGCTCGCCGCACTTGCTGGAATCATTTGGCCTGGGCGGGTGCGCGAGCAGAGGGTCCTTTCCTCTGCCCTTCGCGCCTCCCTCTTCCCTGGTATTCTCCATCTCGCAGTCGCCAAGCGGCTCTTGTTTTGGCGTATCCCACATCCTGCTTGTTGTTGGGACCCCTTCGGGGCCTCATCAAAGCAGAGGCCCCTCCAGCCTGGCAGAGTGCGGTAGTCAAACCGGTAGCGGAGGGGGTGGCTCACAACTGCCCGCCTCCATAGTGATGCCTAGAATTGTTTCAGGTGTGCGCAGTGTCGAGATGCGATGTCTCATTGCGTTCGTTGCCCAGTATTGTGGGGTCTCGCTTACCATCCTGGGCAGCCTCCTGACTGTCTCGCTTCTTGTCTGGGGTTTCACGGGGATCCTGCCCCCGAGGCCGTAGCGAGAATTGTGCGCGCATGCCGCATGTATGACGTGATTCGTACAGCTGCTGGTCAGCCACCACTACATAATTCGCCAGGCTACACATGCACGGATTGATCATGCACGCGCGCCCTTTCAAGGGCCGCATGGACCCTTGTGGCGCTCTTTTGTTTTCGGGCGATATACACAAGTACAACGTTATGTTTGTCTCTCTCTCTCTCTCTTTCTTGTTTGTGTTTGTGTCTCTCTCTATATCTTTTCTCTTGTTCTCTCTCTCTCTCTCTCTCTCTGTCTCTCTTTGTCTTTCTGTGTGTATATATATATATATATGTATAGATCACCCTCTGTCTTGAGTGCACAAACGACCCGGGCCTGGCAACGTCGCCCCAGCCAGGGCCCCCACGATTCGGGATGAAGAGCTGGTCCCCGGGAAGAGGTCCAGACTTCCGGGGGCCACGGTGCGAAAAAGCCACGGCGTCATCGCAGGGCTTGCTAGGCAGACGAGCTCGTGGTGGCTCGAGGTCGCGGTAAAAAGTTGTCGTGGCGGGAGGCCCGCCACCGTCGGCTAGATCTTGGCTCAGCCAAGGCGTTAAGTTAAGGAGAGACTGGGGCGCTGGTTTTCGGGCCGCTTCTTCGGTGTAGGTCGGGGAACCTATTCATGGCCGAGGCTCGCCGTGGCCAGAGAACCTCCTTTCCTGCCTTGGTTTTTCCTTTTGGTAGCACGACGAGTGTCCCTATCTGTTTGAACGCCGGCCCCCCCCAGCAGGCACACCAGGGCGAGGGACGGCAGGTTATTTCCGGGTTTGCCTTGTGCATGTGGTTGGGCACTGTTGGTGGTTGTGGGTTGCGAAGGGAAAAACGGACGGGGTCGAGCGAGAGGAGAGAGGCGTTTCTCCGCCTCACTGTCCCCTCCCTTTCCCCCCTCCCCTCTTGCGATGGGCTGTCAGCCGCCACGACGGTGCATGGTGGTTACCACGACAGTCCGGAGACGTATCACAGTTTTGAGGCCATGGCCTTCCGCGCCATGTCCTAAATGGCGAGGGCGGGCCCCCCAGGGGAAGAACGCGCACGACTCCCAGCGTTCACTCCTGTCCCTTTTGCTGGACTCCGATTTCGCTCCCCCGATGGGGGCGCGGGGTCCCCAGACTGCTTGCATTGCAAGCCGCCTGCGCCTTCGGGCGCGGCGTTCCCTCATAGTGTAGCTGTATAGTTACTATTCCCCTGCGAACGATGATCATAATTGTTGTTGCTTGCCCTATCTCTTGTCATTCTAGTTATATTGAATCGCTTCGCTCATTCCGCCGGCCCGTGATATGGCATCGCTGGTTTTTGTCTGTGTGTTCGTTGCCCATGTTGCGCTCTTGGGGGCGGTTGTCGTTCGGACGCGTTGCGTGGGGAGTTTTGATGGTGAAGCAGTTCCCTGGGGGTCGTCTCTCGATGGGGCGAAATAGAGTCGTCGTCAAGATGCTTCTTTGGGGGGCCTCTTGGGGTCTGTTGAGAGGCCGTTCGGGGGCGCCTGGGAGACATGTTTGAAGCCTTCTGGGGCTTCTTTTGGGCCTCCTGGGAGTCTCCTGGGGCCTCTTGGCGACATCTTGGGGCCTCTTGGAGGCCTCTTGGGGCCTCTTTGGGACCTCCTGGGCGCCTTCTGGGACGGAGGGCTCCATTTTTGAGTTCTCGGTATCCCTCCTGAGTCCCTCTTGGGCCCGTCTTGGGGCCTCTTGGTCCGTCTTGGGCGGCACTTGGGCCGTCTTGAGGGCTCTCTTGGGTCGTTTCGGCGCCGTCTTGGGAGCTTCGTGGGCCGTCTTGGAGCGGTCTTGGGGGCCTCTTGGGCCGTCTTGGAGCGTCCGGAAGCCGAAAAAGCCAGAACACAAAAAACATCGAAAAAACCAATGAAAATCAACGATTTTGGCCTCTTGGGGCTCTCTTCGGAGGCCTCTTGGAAGGCTCTTGGGGCGTCTTGGAGGCCTCTTGGGCTGTCTTGGGGGCCTTTTGGGCCGTCTTGGGGTCATCTTCGGCGTCTTCGAGCGCTCTTTGGGCGTCTCGGGGGCCTCTTGGGCAGTCTTGGGGGCCTCTTGGGGCACTCTGAGCGCGCTCTGGGGAGCCTGAGAGGCCGCACCCAGAAGGAAAACCATCTCTGAGTAGACTTGGTCGGGCGTTGGTCGGGGTACTTTTCGCCGGGGGACCCCCAGGGGCCGCCCCGCGCGCGCGAACTAGAAATACTGTTAATACTGTTAACCAGTTACCGGAGATCTTAGCACGCCCTGGCCCGTTGGGCCGGCGAATTGGCTGATGATTCGCATTACTATTCGTAGTAGTCGTCGACAACAGCAGTTGCATCGGCAGCATCATTCTCAGGATCGTGTTCCTGCTGATCACTGCTCCATCTCCGCACTCCTCGCACTCTTCCCGCAGCGCTGCCTCGACGTCCGGAGCGCGCACGCGCGCCCAGGCCGCACGGCGGCGCTGCGGCCGCTCCGCGGAGCCGCCCGCCACCAGGCGCCGGCGCGCTCCGGCCGCGCGGCCATGAGCAGACTCTGCGGCGCCAGCGCGGCGACGGCGACGCCGGGCGCCGCCTACGCGGCGGGGCCGCCGCCGCAGCAGCGCGCCGCGGCCGCGGCCGCCCGCGCCGCGGGGATTGCCGCGGCCCCGGCCGGCGCCGCAGCGGCGGCCGCGGAGGGAGGCCGCGCGGGAGGGAGGCTCCGCCGCTCCGCCAAGCTACGGCTTGCTCGGGTCCTGTCGACCAGGCGGCGACCCCGGCGCGGGCGTTCAGGGATGAGGGCCAGCAGTGGCCTGGCATGGGGCACTATCGAGCTATCTGGGTGATAGGGAAGCCGCGATCGTCCAATGTTGAACGACCCGCGCGGTGTCAGAAACCAATGCGCAGGTCGTCGCGAGACCAATCTGCCGCAATTGCCAGGGAGCGGCTCGTGGTGCGCCGCCGGCGTTCTCGGTAAGCTCTAAGCTCTAGCCTTTTCGTCCCAGATGGGCCCCGAGGACTCAAGATGGCCCCAATGTGGCCCGGAGGGCAGCCCCGCGGGAGGAGAAAAACATTGAGACTTGGGCGCTGTGGGAGAACGACGAGGAGGAGGAGGAAGAGGTGCCGATACCGCTTGCCTTCTCTCGTTTTCTCCTTTTTGGGCCTCCTGGGAAGCCCTCGTCGCCACGGCTGGGTTCGCTTCGACATCTGGTCAGAACGCACCCCGGGAGAGGTCTGGGGAGGAACTCTCTAAGATTCTGGCGTTGCATTAGCGGCACCGGGCATTTCCGCCCCGTTTCGGGCCCTGGGGCCAGATCCGGCTGGAAAGATGCCGTGCACAGATGGGGTCTATGGATGTGGTCGTGATTCTTCGCGATGTCACCATTATTTCGCAATGTCGGATGTCACAGCGGCTCAGGGAACAGAACCCGTCCATGGGAAGAGGTTCAGACCTATGGGGAGCCACGTCGTGAATTGAGCGTCGATTAGTTGATGAGGGGCGATGGACGGGGGAGGGGGAGAAAGGTGCACTCCTCGGGGCCTGGAGGCCCCCTTTGGGGCCCTGAAGGGCCCCTTTTCTGCCGCCCTCGCTTTCCTCCCACGGATCGCCCCACCAATACCACTCGGACCGAGGTAACTATGAGGGCGCGGTCGATTCGGGGAGGGTGCCCTGAGAATTTGTCGTGCTTGCTGGGTGCTCTTGCGCATCCTGGGGGAGTGCACCTTCGAATGCTGTTCCTTTTGGCCTGCGGAGCAGGGCTGGACCTAAACGGTGTTTTGGCGATTTCGTGGGCCGTTTTCGTTTCGATTTCGTTTTGCGGTAAAGGCGGATTGAAGACAGAACGAGGGATAACGAAAACAAAAAGAGAAAACGAAAACGAAAAACACCCTTTAGGTTCAGCCCTGCTGCGGAGGGTCTCGTGTCCTCGAAGGTCGTGCTTCTGTCGCAGGTCTGACTGTTCCGCGACGCCCGGGCGAACAATCTCGACGTCGGGTGCCTGTGCCCGCCCCTCGCTCGCGCCTTGGCGGGCGCCTCTTCCCGGGGGAGGGCCCCCGTCGCCGCGGCCGGGTCCCCTTCGAATTCTGTCTTCCTCGGAGGCGTCCTGAGACCCTGGCGTCTTTCAATTTCTTCGGGCCTGGCGCCGTCGCTCCCTGTCGGGCCCCGGGGCCGTCGCAGTCGCAGATCGATCTGGCTCGAAAAGAGAGTGCTTCTGCACTGTTTCGGGCATAGTGGGCATTATAGCCCCCCCGCGCCCCTCCCCCCCCCCCTATAACGTAACGCCCCCCCATCCCCCAGTGCGCCCTGGCACTGCCGCCGTGCGCATCCGGATCCGCATGGGCGTCCGCATAGGAATCCGCATAGGGGTCTGGTCCGCAGTGCAGTCGTGGTCTTCGTCGTCGTCGTCGTCGTCGTCGTCGTCGTCGTCGTCGTCGTTGGCGTGGTCGGCGTGGTCGTCGTCATTGTCGCTCGTCTCTCGTCGTTCATCGTGGTCGTGCGCGCGGACCCGGCTGGAGCTTTTTCTGGACCGATCACGGCCGTCATCTGGGGGGACGAAGGGGCCAATGACGTCACGTTTCGCGCCGGCGGCGTCTGGTAATGCGTAGGAATGACCGAGGACGGGTAGCAGTAGCATGTAGGTGGCGATCTGCACTGCAGCGCCTGCGTACACCACACCGCCTGTGTACACCACAGCAGCCGCGTGCAACACAGCGCCAGTGTGTTCCACAGTGCTTCCGAGCACCACAACGCCAGTGTACACCACAGCGCCTGCGTACACCACATCGGCCGTGTGCAACACAGCTGTACACCAAAATGCCTGCGTGGACGACAGCGCTTGTGTACACCACGGCGCCTACGTGTTCCGCAGCGACCGTGTGCAACAGAACACCACTGTTGCGTATAGAATTTTAGAAGGAATCCAGATGACAAAATGGAGCGCCAGTAGATTCAATAGAAATCATGGGTTGTATATCGGATTTGGAAAGGAATCCTCATGGGAAATGGAGCGCCGCTGGAATCTACAAGTCCTCCCGAGTCTTCCCGCATCATCCTAGCTTCTCCCATCTGCGTCCAGGAGGCTCCAGCAGAATTGGCCTTCCGAGAACCAAGTGGACTGATTCGATAGACCATTCTGCGGTTCACGCTGAGATGACCACGTGCGCTGTAGCGCCGACCCGCTCGACAAGGGGAAGGGTGAGCGAGGAGGAGGAGGAGGTGGAGGAGGACGAGGAGGTTTCTTTGTGAGCGAAGATGACATTCGAGCATGGCCTTTGGAGGGAGTCCGCCAGGTGCTCCTAGCCATGCCACTTCATCAAGCAATGCTGTTCTGAAGCTGCTGGCCCATAGCTGGGCCACCGATCAGAGTTTCCAGCAGGGCGGCAATTTCATTGTAGGCTGCATCCCGTGTGTGATCGACTTTGCACGTGATCGTCTCTCCCACTATTGGTCCTGCCCCCGTTTTCTCTTTCTGCTCTGCCGTGTTCTCGAGGTCCGATCCCTTCCTGGCTGTGCCGTGCTGCGCCTCGGTCTCTGTGCGCCGTCACCCGCGTCCCTCATCGTCCCTGCCGCTGCCACGCTTTTTTACCATCAGCTGAATTTGATCCGAGGTTTCGAAGTTCTCACAGAGCCACAGGCTCACTCGATCGCCGCCACTGCGCGGTTCCAGCTGCGGCGCGCGTGGCGATGAAGCGGCGTGGATTCCGCTCTTCGGCTACGCGCGAGGAGGAGGAGGACGAGGAGGAGGAGGAGGAGGAGCAGAGGAGGAGGAGGAGGAGGAGAAGGGGTAAAGGGGGAAAACGAGGTGGAGGAGGGACGCAGGAATAACGCCGCATGTTCTTATCAGCGCTTCCCTGGCGTGGTGTTTAGCTGTCCACAGCAGATCCTCACCTTGATGTTCCTTCTACCTGTCCTGCGCACGCAGGCGCTGCGGTGTACACCCGCGCAGCGTTGTACGCGGAATCTGCGGTGTAGACTGGCGCCGTGGCGTGCACAGGCGCTGCGGTGCACGCAAGCACTGTGGTGCACACAGGCGCTGCGTTGCACATTGTTGTTGCGGTGTACACATTCGCCGCGGTGTACACCGGCGCTGCGGCGCACGCAAGCTTTGTAGTGTGCACAGGCGCTGCGTTGTACACGACTGTCGCGGACTACGCAGGCGCTGCGGTGTACGCGCGCGCTGCGGTGCGCGCGAGCACTGTGATGTACACAAGCGCTGTAGGGCAGATCGCCACCGACATGCTGCTCCTAGTTGGCCGGGGTCATCCCTAAGCATTCCTGGACGCCGCTGGCGCGGAGCGCGACGTCATTGGGGGGGGGGGGGGGCGGGGCCGACGACGGCCGCTATCCCGGAAAATACAGCAAACAAAATCAAAAAAAAGCCAGCGCTGCCGGGGGGGCGTACGTTATAACCCCCCCATCACGCCCATCATCGCCGAAAATAAAGAAACGCGCTCAAAATGGCGCAAAGCAAAGGGTTTAGGGTTGCGGGCGCGATTTTTCAAAATTGCTGAATTCTTTCGCGTCGTCGGATTTCAGGGTGACTGATCCAATCCGTGTCCCCAGAGCTGCCGACCCCTTCCCCGAGGGTAGTTTTGCGTCCTGGATCCGTTCTTGACGGCTTCGAGGCCCGATTACGGGCCCCAGAATACCAGAATCGAAGAGAGACGCCCGGATTGAAAAAGCACATCTTCGGAGCCACCTCGGCTGGATTCCACGTGGCGTCTTCAGCTGGATCCGATGTAGCAACAGAACAATCAGACAAAAACGTTGAAACACATCACGGCCAGAGCGCCGGACC